CTGGGAAAAAAAAACCTGAAAGTGTTAAAGATACTATTTACCCTCATAGCCCCCCCACCCATTAGGGTAAACTACAAATACTAAAAGATATAATGTCCCTGGCTCCTGTCTAAATTGGCCCTCATATGTATGCGTCCCTACCTTAGATTGGAAGCTCCTTGAGGGCAGGGACTGATGTGAATGTGTAACTATGTAAAACGCTGCGTAAATTGTCCACACTATATAAATACCGGTAATAATAAAATACATTTGAGGAGACATCGCCAAACCAAAAGTCTGGGACTTAGGGGAAAAAAGGACCCTGGACTCAAAGTAGTTAAACAGAAATTGAAACTCTAATCAGGAGGGCCTAGAAGCTAATGAGTAATGTATATATGATCTTCTCAATGCATGTGAAAATAAGCTGCCTAATGTAATTCTTATTGTGTTTAAAATGTTTTCAGAGCTTGCTTCTGTGTACATTGTGTCATATTAGTGCCTGGTTGGGGAGTCATTATTTGCTCATTACATACTCAGCCTCTGCTTCCTGCTCTTGCAATGCTACATAATGGTTGTGCCTAACTGCTCCTTCCAATGAAGGTCTATGGGTCATCTATCTGATAGAGATCTGGCATCAACAGCTCTCACAGGCAGGGCCCTCCATATCATCTTGTCTTGATTTGTATTGTAACTGTAATGTCTTCCTTATATTGTAAAGCGCTGTGCAAACTGTTGGTTTAGAGATTGAGTGAAGTGATTGCATGATGGCACAGAGCTCCCTCTAGTGGCCAATCTACAAAGCTGTATTTCGATACGTTAAAAGGGAACCGTCCATGAAAACTGGAAGGTCCGCTCTATTGAAAGCCCCCCCACCGCTAAAAGTCAAATCTCATGTTAAGGGGATCTTAAAATATAGCTGTTGCTATAAAAAAGTAAATAAATATATTTAAAAAAAGTGCCCCAGCCCTGGCTTCCATGTGGATGATATCATGTTGCCTCACCGCTGACTCCTGGGATAGCCGAGGGCTCACAATCCTGCAGGGGTATACTCCTGCTGGATTCCAAGCACTCGTCTATCTCAGGAGGCAGCAGTGTGACATCATCTGAACCTCACAGAAGCGGACAAAATCAGGGCCAAGGTAAGTATTTAAAGCAGAACTATGAGGTAAGTGCTTTTCACTCACCTCATAGTTCTAGCCAACCTGTGACAATGAGACTGTCACAGGTCGGCTCAGTAGATCAGGAGGTGAGCGAACACATACCGGGTTCGCTCACTTCTCGATCCTGTCACGGCTCTCTGCCGTGACAGGGGAGGGGCTGGATTCCCCCCTCTCCGCTCCTCCAGCGCTGACTGGCGGATCGGACGGGGGAGGGGGCGGGTACATCTGGCTCTGCCTCTAAATAGGTAGAGCCAGTTGTCACTCACGCAGCTTAGCGGATCCCGGCTTAATTGTCGGGATCCGCTTCAGCGTCTCAGTATACTGCGAGCTACAGCTCCCTATATACTGAGCTTAGGGTGACAGGAGGACGCTAGTTTGTGTCCTCCCGTTACCCTAAGGAGAACTATGGGGAAAAGCCCTAACCCCATAGTTCTCCTTTAATTTATTATAGCAACAACTATGGGTGGGGGGCTTTCAATTACAATTTCAGGGAAGGTTCATTTTAAAGAGTATATAATGATGAACTTCTCTTACTTGCTCAATTTTTCTCTGTTTAATAAACCATTGAAAGTGTTTTGGAATATTTGTTTGATAAAAAAAAATATATATTTTGATAGAATTCTTGTGAGCTGGTAACTGCCTGATCTCTCTACCTGTGCACTAAATGGGGTTATGGCGATGAGGAGGGGAAAAGGAGGGGTTGTAGAAATTATGAAGATTCTTTGTAATGCATCAGAAATTACGTAGGCAGGGCTGACACCACATACTTAGGAATGCAGAACTGTGTTGTCATGCCATAGAGGAAGGTCAGATCACACTATGTTTCTGCCACAGCCACAGTTATTTTTCTGCACTTTAGAGGTGTTTAAAGTGATAAAATGTGCATGTTTTCCAGAGATGTACTAAATGTTTTTTGCTTTGCCACACGCTTTTATCTAAACCCAAGAAAACATGCAATATAATGCAGCTTACCAGTCATTAGATGTGGCTGCATTATTTCTCTTTTATTTCAGGCTAAGAACATGTCTATCAAGTGCAGAAAATCCCCGTTGATCCTGCCAGAAATACCGTGTTTTTGCCACTTCCTGGGAGCTGACCTGAACGCACAAAACGCTATCTTCCTTCTGTGAACCACTAATCTCCCCCTCCCAGTAATGGAGATGATGAGAGGAAGACGTGCTTGTAGTCCAAACCAGGAGAGCAGCCAAGGTTGACAATCATGGCTCCCTCCATACATACAGTGCAGTGAATGAGCGTCGCCACCCTATGACAGGAAGTGTGTTATTGGCGGGATCACCAGGGCAAAACATAGGGAACAAAAACAGAAAAAGAATGCAGCTGTCATATAAAAGGACCGGTAAGCCTTTTGTTCTTGGGTTTAGATACGTGTTCAAACAAGAAAAAGACGGGGTGCTCCTCCTATAGGCTGAGAAAAGCCTCATTCATATAAATCTATTAATAGGCCTCCCATGCAGCATTATTATTATACAGGATTTATATCGCGCCAACAGTTTGCACAGCGCTTTACAATATAAGGACGACATTACAATCACAATACAGGACAAGATGGTAAGGAGGGCCCTGCCCCCGAGGGCTTACAATCTAAAATGTACATACAGACGTATACCATACCTTGACCCGGATCTCCTCCAGAACATTCAGCTCCTCCAGGCTCAGCGGGTGCTCCGGGTCATTGATGGAACGAATGAGATGTAACATGTTAAGGAGAATGAGGCCAACATTCGGTTTTATTATGTCATGTACAGTGGTCAGCTCATTGTAAAGGGTGGATTCTGGTAAAGGTTGTACAATAATATGATAATTCGTTCCCGAGGAACTCGTGACACAGCTTTGATATTTCATTTCTTTTTCCTAATGCAAGAGGAGCAGCTCACATGGAGGGGGCTGCAATGCTGGTTTCCTCATGTAACACCGCTGCCAGGAAATCCGGCATCCCTACAGCCCCCCCTCGTAGTAAGCTTTGTGCAGTCCGGGGATGCTACAGTGCAGGAAATTGTCATTTGGAATTGTGCATTCCTTGCATCCAAAAGGCTGAATAGAGATCACACAGGAGATTTTAGGATGCTGCTTCTCCTAAAAGCAGCATTACCTTACCTTCTGCATCCCCAGACTGCACAAATCACTGCACTGTGCATGTCGCTGATCCTACAAGCAGCTTTACATTAAATGATGCATTCCCTGGCAGCCCAACTGTTGGATGCCAGTTTCCTTTAACACTGCTTATGGGAAAGATGGCATCCCTGTGTGTCGTATGTGAGATTTGTGTTGCCCCGGGGTGGGGGTGGGGGGTACAGTATTGTAATATGATATTGTACACCCCCTGCATCCCTGGGCTGTACAGATCTCTACCCAGGAGGTTTGGGAATGCCAGTTCTCCTGCAGTGTTAGATGACAATCTGCATTCCCCAGCTTCACATGGGAGACACGGGATGCCAGTACGCTCATGTCATAGTGCTTGGAAAGCTGGCATCCCTGCATCTTCTACATGAGATTTATACTGCCCCGAGTATATAGTAGTACATGCAGGTGTATTATAATATTGGGCACCCCCTGCATCCCTGGGCTGTACAGAGCTATATACAGGAGGTTTGGGGATGCCGATTCTCCTATAATCAGTGTTTGATGACAATCTGCATTCCCAAGCTTCACAGAGCTCATATGAAAGACACAGGGATGGCAGTGCCCTCATGTAACACTGCGTTCAGGAAGTCTATTATCATATGAGCTCTGTCCTGCCCAGGGATTTATAATTACAGTTCATTGTATATAAAATGTATTGTGCACCCCCTGCATCCCTAGACTATGCAGAGTTCTACACAGGTGGTTTGTAGATGTTAGATGACATTATCCATCCCCTGCTACACAGAGCTTGTATGAGGGATACAGGGATGTCAGTTCCCTCATGTAACACTGCTTGCTGCAAACTTGGCATCCCTGCATCCTTTGTATGGGCCCTGCTCTGCCCAGGGATTCAGGATTTAATTACATTGTACACAATACAGAATGTGCTCGTTGGGGATTTGGGAATTGTAGTTCACTCAGAAACAGTGTTATCTGACATGCTGTAATGGGGAAGACTCCCCGGCTGCACAGAGCTCATAGGAGGGATAAAGTTGATTGTGCATCTCCTCTAAGCAGTGTCACATGACATTCTGCATGCCCAGGTGTAGTTCTCACATGGGGGGTGCCAGATTTCCACTAGGCGTTTCATGACATGGAGGGAAGCCGGTTTTCCCCATAAGAAGTCACATGACATTCCATTCTGCATTTTGTGCCTTAGAAAGCTCACATCGAGGATTGTAGGGATGCCAGTTGTATTCTAAGCAGTGCCGCATGACATTCTGCATCCCCTGCATTACAGAGGTCACATGAAGGGATGCCACTTTTGCCTCTAAGCAGGGTCACATGACATTCTGCATCCCCTACATTACAGAGCTCACATGGAGGGTTGCAGGGATGCCGATTTTCCCCTAAGCGGGGTCAAGTGACATTCTGCAGCTCCTGCATTAAATAGCTCACATGGAGGGGTGCAGGGATGCCAGTTTTCCTCCTGGCAGGGTCACATGACATTCTGCATTACTGAGCTCACGTGAAGGGAGGCAA